AGGTGGCATGGCTGAAGAAAACGGCCACCCTCTGAAGCGACTAATAATTTACGAGTTCCGGAAAAGGATGTGACACCCAATTTCTCAATACATCAGCGTATGGCGCGCGCGGGAAACCAAGATGTATCATAACAGTTTGCCTTTGCGCGGGTACCTCTCACACGGTTTTAATGGATGATGCTGGTTTTGACAAGAACTGCTGGATAATCGGAAATAGTACGTAGCGTGACTTCGCTATGTGTTTTAGTGTGCTCATCACACGTTTATGCCTAATAACAAATCGTTCTCTGAACCCAAGATCGATGGTGTATACAGTATGCATTGACGTGTTCCTTGAGTTTGTTCGACAAGTTGAACATGAGGATTTCAATGAGGAAATATATTCGCGGGTGTGTGATGCGTCCAAACTTAGTCCAATATTTGATTTTGTTATATTTTGTATGACATCACTCTGCTTTCATGCCATGCTTGATCCATCATCTGTTAAAGGCGTCCACGTGTAGCACACAAGTAAGTTGTTTTTCCTTTTTATTTTCCTTTTTCACGATTCCGCTCTGATGTGCAACCTTGCGTACACGTGGTTATTCTTAACCTAAATATAAGTGCAATACTTTTTTCCACTTCATTTAGAATAATTTAATAATGTTGTTGATGTACATAGAAAAGTCAAAGTTTATGTTCGTTCTTCAATTTTTATTTTGAACACGTTTGTTTTGAAAAGCAGTGGCGTAGACAGGTTCGTACACCTGGGGGGATGACTCAGGGGCGGATCTAGCTTTTTGCTAAGGGGGGGGGGGGTTGACCAAAATAATGACGATGCGGAGCATCGTCCACGAGCCGCGAAGCGGCGAGCCGGTTTTTTTTGGGGTGTTTATTTGAACCCCGTAAGTGATGTTTTCCTGGCATCTATTAACACAATGGAGACCATAAAAAGCAGTGCATGATAACGTCTTTTTAAATCAAGTAACAGTTAAATACACAGTTATATCCAGAGTTATCATGTGTTTGGTTAAGTTACCAGATGAGTTGAATATCTTCTCACAATATTTGCACTTGAAAGGGTTTCTCTCCAGCGTGCGTTCTTTTTTCTTTCTTTTTTTCTTTTTTTTCCTTCTTTTTTTTCCCTTTTTTTTGTTTTTGTTTTTTGGGCCGCCCAAGGGGGGGGGGGGGTTAAACCCCCTAAACCCCCCCCCGTAGCTCCGCGCCTGTTTAATCTTGTGGTTATCTTGTGGTTTCCAAACCACAAGATAACCACAAAATACTTGTAAGATTTTCTTTTTTTTACCGTCTGAATTGGCTTTCACCGTGTGAATGCGGCTAATAACAATAAACACAATTACAATAATGATGAGGATTATTATTATCATCATCATAATTAATATTATTATTAATATTATAATTGTTATCATTATTATTATTACTATTATTATCATCATTATGACTTATTAAGTAAGCAAATATCATTCCCCAAAACCTGGGGGGGGGGATGATTGTACATGCCACCCCCCTCATCCCCCCCGTTGTCTACGCCCCTGTTGAAAAGAGTTCACGTAATGACGCAATAATAAGTGAAATTCTGCCTTCCAAGTTTTGGGGATTCTCAAAACTATAGAGGAGCTTTAATTTAAAGCGCCTCTTGTGTTGGGAACCCCAAATTCGCAACAACAACAAAAATAGCAAAATTTCACTTAAATGTTTATAATGATGTAAAAGAAATGAAAATTATCCCACACTTCTGCAATCATTATCACAACAAATGTCTTTGACGCCGGATATTGATGAAAGAATACAACATTTCGGCTTCTTTTTTCACGCAGAAAACAAAAAATTAGTATTCTTTCACCAATATTCGTCTTCGAACACATTAAATAAAATGACAGCCTGTTTCATTTCATTATACAATCAAAGTAAAATGTTTCCATCATATATTTGGGGCACCCAACACTTTAGAGAGGCTGTTAGTGTTAGTGTTGGGAACAAACAGTTTAATGGCAATATTCCATAAATTGCAAAATGACGTAGAAGAGCAGGATTTTTAAATAAATGTGTTTAAAGAAAAATATTTGTTTAAAACAGAATAAGAGTTTTTCTGCTGCATATAATTATATGCACAAAACTCAAATTATAAATCCTTTCATCAACATTTTGAGTGTACGTTTCGTTTCTAAACGGTCCTCTAATTTCATTCAGTCATGCTTTCTTGTTATCTTTATTTCAGTACTTCTGAGTTCAGATTATACCGTAACTAACATTGTACATCGAGCTTTATACAGTTGGAAAAAATCCAATACTTTAGGAGCGTTTTTCTCACAACTGAACAACTTTACAGAGTCCCTCTAAAAGAAAAGACGTAAGGCCTACAGTATTCATTATTCTACTATTTTTTTTAAAGCTTCTTTAAAATTAAAATAGGTAGAATCCACACATGAAAAGTACGAGATCACTATATTGCAATACACCTCCCTGTGAATATGATCCGTCTGCTACAAGAACAAATGGTGTGCGACTTCTTGACTTGTGTGAACCACCCCGTCTTAGGAATTCTCTGGCAACAGCAATCTTCAGGGTCGCACAGGCCATAAAATCTTGCGATGCTCGACTTTATCGTGTTTTCATGCCCTTGAATTTTAAGTAGAAATATAAGGCGCATTTATACTGTCAAATACCTCATTTTGAAAAGTCGCGATGTTTCGTGCACCCGGTTACACTTGTGCTGAAACATCACCGACGGAGCTGTTCAGCGATGTTTTGGCGTGTTTCGGTTGGTAATGCGCATGTGCAGTCTTCCCTACCTTTGACCCCGGCCTGCTATAAGATTTTTAGCGCGCGCAATTTCCAGCTAGCGCTATAGCTAGCTAAATAGCGATACATCCCATGCGCATGCATGCGATATGTTTTGTTTATCTCGCGTGTAGTATTTGAGGCAAGAGTGGATAAGTTACGAAGTACGGACTACGGCTGCTGATTCAGTTTTCCCAAATTCAATCGAAATCTAGTAGTAAAAACGATATGGGAAGGTTAAGAAAATCATCGTTGTTAATTGTTAATTTCATGCTTTCACTCATTTCTCTGAAGCCCTTTTCCCCACGTTTGCAGGGACGCTTGGAAGTCTGGTGGAGGAGCTCTCCCTGCCTCCACATCGAAATCAAGAACTTCATCTCATCATCAGTCCAATGGGAATTGTTCACTTCCATATTAATTAATCTAACAAAACACTCAAATACTACTACTAGACAGATATGGCCAGACGGGAATAACGAAGATTGAATAAAGGATGAGTTAACGGAATTGGAACAAACGGAGCTGAATGAACGGATAACACGCGCGACGATGGAAATGCTATAAATATCACACGGGAAGAACGTGGTTTAAAAGGGCGCGGGTAACAATCCGGAAGTGCCGGAAGTCACGTGCCTAACATCGCGATGTTACAACTGCGAGCGGTTATACTTGCCAAACACGCCAAAACACGCCAAAACACGCCAAAAGATCACACTTCGTTTTGGAATGTTTGGGGCTTGGCATGTCTGCCGGTAAAGCGTAGTTGCCCTTGGTAACATCGCGGCCAGGCTCCGGTTTGGCATTTTTTGGCGTGTTTGGATGACAGTGTAACTGCCCCTTATTTAATGGCTCTTCCCTAGCAACAGGATATGGGGATCCTGACATTCAGCCAAAGGTAACCCCAAATTCAACCAGAGTTAAAAAGTTTTCACCACGTATTCCCCCAGTTAGTCAGCTTTATTTCAGGTACGAAATGTTCGTAGTGTTACCAAGTGACTTGAACTTGTAATTGAATATTGCAAATTCAAACGAATTAGGGAAACGCGCTTGGGTTACCCCCTCAAAGATTATGTTGTTTATGACATTATTTTTTTTGCACTTGCCTCACAAATCTTTCAAATTATGCTCGCTCGCTCCCAACTGCAAGTATGATGCTTAATTGAGCAGTTTCTAGGACCATGTAAAGAGGGGAATATATCACCACTACTATAATCACAATGAATGATATATACCAAATTTAATGTCATAAAACGATTAATGTTCGCTTTAAGGTTTCCTTTGTTACTATATATGGTGCCCCCGCGGCCTTTTTCAAAAAAGTGCCCTTTTATGTTGATCCCAACGTTTCTGCAATCACATGACCATAACTGGTCTTTATAAGCTTGTGTGACGATCGTTATATATGCAAACCTGGATGACTGGATCAGATGAAATATCAAGGAAACTTTCGAGTTCGATCGATATTGTTTGTTATGTTTTGTTACACATGCATGGGCCAACCAAATGTACAGGGGCGGGGGTGCGTCTTCCAAAATTGGCACTTTCTGTAGGGCACCTACAAAGGAAAACATAACAAACATATAGGCCTATATTCTTTTAGACATTGTTATATTATCAATATGATTGAGTTCTTCTCTTTACATGATCCAAAAACACTGTTTAAGCATCATACTTTGCAGTTTGGTATGGTCTGAATATCATTTGCAAGCGAGCAAAAAAGGAAAGACTTGTGAGGTCATGCACAGTGTGAAAAGTTATATTTTATGAAGAGGATAAAAACAATTCCTGATGAGTTTTGAGCACACTCTAATAAAAAAGACTGAAAAGACCTTTGACCCTTTATGAGTAACATACAGTAATGCTTTGGTGCAAATTAAGGGGGGCTTTAAATTAGGGATGCTTATCGGAAAGGAAAACGAAATTTATTTGAAAAGAAAAGGTGCTCGATCGTCTCAAAGTAAAAAGGGCAATTATTAGAGGTCACTTAATTCTCACACCTGAAAAGCTAGGATCGATCGACTCTGACCAGAGATGAAAAAATTGTAATAAAATTATCGAGGTGCAGGGGCATTTATAAAAAGAAACTATATTATTAGAAAGGGAAAGGGCGCACCCCCAAGATAGATAAGCCAACCCTCCCATTTCGCGCAGCTATAGCTAGCCGCTCCCTCCCCCATCCCCCGGCCCCCCCCCCCCCCCACCCACCCTTCATGTAGCGCTAGCCGGTTAGGCTGGTTCAATATCAACGGTGTATTTGTAGTTAAATTTCAACATTTTGCAGTGGATATCAATTTCCTGAAGGTCACTGAACAATGTTAACGACTGTCTTAAAAGTCTTTTAAGGTGAGTGAAAACAGAAATACGATAAATTACACGTATTTTCATCATTTCATGTCCCGAAATCGACCCGCTTTGACAAACATTGTGCAGTGGCAATGCAATGCACATTTATGCCAGTGCAATGCCAATGCTTGAGCTACAGTGCAGTCCCGTGTGTTAGAATCGGTGCAAGTTAGAATTGTTGTGAAAAAAACGAGTGAAATGTTTAATAAACTAGTATAAATGCTTCTTCTACTTTGGATTTTTTGTGAAATAGGGGAACACCCATTCAATATGTGGTGTGAGAAGCTAAGTGCATGATGGATTGATTTTGACTGCATGCTCTTGTCTTTTTAATTTACTTTAGAGTAGGCCTAGCCTAAAGCTAAAGGAGCCGGTTTTCGGCCACTTAAGACAAAATCCTATTTTTTTGGACCCTTTACTTCCTATTTATTATCATTTTTTGTTCAAATCATGAAGCAATTGTTATTATTATTTAAACAAAACAAGAATCCCAGAAAAAAATCATGAATTGCCATGACAATATTCATTTCAATTTTCACTGTTTCGGAGTCAGTTTTCGGCATAGCGTACCAGTTTTCGGCCGCATGTACAAAGTCAATAGGAAGCGCGCGCACGCGCCGTGCGTTTCCGTGCTGATCTATAGCACTAGCGGGCGGAGCAGATATCCCACGCCGGAGCTCTCCGGAGCTCGCCAGGCCGAAAACTAGTACTGCGGTGATCAGATATTGGAATCTGAATTAGACAGAGATATCGTGTGTGCGTCGCGGTGTGCGGCTGCATTGATTTAATACATGCGATGAGATACTTTTGAGCTTGCGACTAGCACAAAATCGGGCTCTAAATCTGAGAAATACTTGAAATAAAGCTCATTTTATGGTACCCATATTTCTTACAGACACGCGTAAGATACTTGATTTTTCAGATTTGGGTAGCGGGTCCGCCGACTACATCGCTAAAATGTGATATTTTAGGATATATTTTCCATTGCAAATGTGGTTCTTCAGTGACACTGGCATGGTATGGTATGTGTGGGATATGTTTTATGCTATTATGCGATGTATTTTAGAGGGATTTTACCTTGCATCCAACCAATCGGCTGAAAACTGGAGCTGGCCGATTACCGGCTCCTTTACTCTAGACTCTACGTCTTTAGTTTTTGATTTTGTTGCCTTGGGCTTGGCATTAGTGCTGTAAGTCAGACGCTATGTTCGTGTTCGGTTCGGTTCGGCAGAGTTCGGCAATTTTTCACCCGAACTTGGTTCGGTTCGGGGTTCGGTAATATAATAGCAAGCAGCGTTATGGGCGGGCCGGCTAGCCGGCCGGGCCCGACCAGCACGGAGGACTTCTGCACACAGCTTCCGACCAGCACGAATTTCACATTCAAAAACTGCTCTAAACGTAATTTGTGAAGAAAAGTACTACTTACATTCGTATTTCCGTCTGGAATCATGTTTTATTTTCAATTTTAAAAGAATCGTGTTTTCAATTTGTCGATAAATGATATTTTTTAAAGATTTTCCGAGACGGTTGTTGTCTAATCATTGCTAATGTTAGAGTCATGAAAAATGCCATCTTGAATAGCAAATCAGGCTCATCAATAACTGTTTTTATAAGTTTTTATTTTCAATAGGAAAAATATAAAATCCCTATTTTTCCTGAATAAATAAATACCATACTTTAATATATATTTATTTCATTATTTATATTGCAAAATTTGTCTGATATTGTTACAATTAAAATATTATTTTTTTGTTGAATGGGCTTGAGCTGAACATGTTTTGATCACGCACATGTATTCTTGTTTATGGCTTGCGATCGCGACGTAGCGTGGTCAGGATTTGGGATTTGAATGGCGCCAGTGAAGTCGCGCCCACCACTGGATAGGCATAAATCACAAAGGCGGAAAATAGGAAAAAGTAAATATAAAATGAGCAATCATGACATGAAAATTAGGTACAAAATGACAAGTTTATTAGCTTGCAAAAACGTTTACATTTTTCTGCCGAACATCCGAACTAAGCCTTTGCTTTCGGTTCGGAAGTGCCATGTTCGGCGAACTTCCGTTCGGTTCGGCGGTTCGGCTACAGCACTACTTGGCATTCAATGAGCTGAACTCCTGAACTGAACTGAACTTATTTGTTTTTTGTGCAACTGGGAACTAACTCTGAATTTGGTAACAAATTACTAAAAAGTCAGTGTTTCTTTACGTGAATGGTAGCCAGAGGTTTGCTTACCTTACACAAGAATCCCAATTACGTACAAAATGACACATTACAAAAAAACATTGATCTCTGTCGAGTCTGTGAGCTCTGAAAAGTGATGGGGGTTTCCCGGGTTTGTGATATTAATCCTAGGCGGACTCCAGCGTTAGTTTAGAGTAAAATGTCATTAACTTGGTGTTCAAAGGCACCCAGTGTGTCACTGAATTTAGCGACACTCCACTTGCTTTTTTACACTAAACCAATTGCTATTTTTGTAAAGTCAACATCAAACTGGCAATGCAAACCAGCCTTTATCTTACACTGCAATGTTACATACATTTAAATAAGGTGGGGATGTTTACCTATCAATGAGCTTTATTTTTTTCCTTCTTTTATTTTTCTTCTAGAAATAAGGTTATTTAAGGAACTATTTCAATATTCTGCAGTCCTTAGAAAATGGTTGCTTATTTCTTTACCATGCTCCCCTCAATAGAGTACTAAAGCTGTGACATCATAAAATCTATTTTTAGAAATTCTCAATTTTCTTCATTTTCCGAAAGAGCATAAAAAATAATGTCCAAATGTCGATAAACCAATTGAATATGTTAAGTATTGGCTGAGATATGACCATCTGAATAAATAGATTTCCTATAGGAACTCAGTGTTATTTTGCTCTGGTTCGTAATGTTATGAATCAAATATGAATAAAAATAAAATAGACTTTTGACGACGTCACACTTCACCACTCTATCTTCTTGTCTAGATTTCTAGATATCTACCGTGATCATGGCTGAAAAGGAGAGAGAGGTCAAGGGTTGCTTGACCCAGGAGTCCATTAAAGTGATTGGCGAGTGTGTGGGCGTGTCCTCTCTAAACGAGGAGGCGGGGACTCTGCTTGCTGATGATGTCACTTTCAGACTGAAGATGATGGTCCAGGTACGAACTCTCATCTCATTCTTCAAATAGTGTGTTATTGCTCATTAAGTCTAATTTCCAGTCTGTCTAAATCCCAGTTTGTCTCATGCTCATATTGTCTACTATCCATATGGTCTAATAATCATGCAATCACAGCCCCGGAAAAACCACAAACAGCCCCCGAAAACAGCTCAAAACCCGATTTCGGGGGCGACATCAAAAAGTGAAATGATCTCAAATCGCCCCTGTAACGATTACGAGTGGCCGCGCGCTCTCTTCTAGCTTCGTATTCATTGTGTGCATTTCTTGGTCCGTGCGCTGAATCTCCGTGTAAAATTGTATACACAAAAATCGGTCGTAAAAAACTCGCTTACCATGTCGCACGCAAGTACGCCAAAACACGTACATTTTCGCAGTTGCGAGATCGAGACGGAGCGTAGGGGTCGAGTTTTTGGCGGTCAATTTTGTTTTGGTAGATCATATTAGCTGAACCTAGACCACTAAACATCGCTAAAACTGCAATCAATTTCCATCACGAATTCACGATTGCCGCAATTTTATAAAGTTTCCATAAATAATAGAGGTATGAAATTAAAGCTTATTTTGTGATTATTCTCGCCATGTTTACGTAATTTTGATAATCATTTTTTCAAGGAAAGAAAATCAGACAAAATCACTGTGACTGACACGCATACAATACAGTGCGGTGTGTGTGATTTGAGCTGAGCTGAGCTGAGGTAGCTCGCTAGCTGAGCTCGAGTCGAAGAGATTTGACACTTTGAAATTGTTATCTGTTGGTTTGCATCATTATTGCCGCGATTTCAATATAGTTTCGTGAATACATGTAGGAGACCTGAGCTTAGAATTAGTAAAAGTATTACTAATGTCTACGTTTTTAAAGGACTGTCTGATTTTCTTGTGAAAATTTTACTTTGAAAAATGATTATCGAAATTCATGGCCAGAAATAATAACAATCTAGGGTCTATTATGTTACAGTTCTTGCATAAAATCAATGCATGAAAACTTAGTTATTGAACTAGAAAAAGGGGTTTCTTTTTTAATAGGCAATTATGAAGCAGGAAGCCCGAAACCTTAGCCTACTAAACAAATCTCAACAAACTGTGGGCCAATCCTTTTATGAATTAATGAAAAAGTAGCCCCAGAAAAAAGAGCCCCCGAAAGTTAAAAAAGGAGCCCCCGAAAATTTCCCAAAAATTTGAAATGGAGCCCCCGAAATGAAAAACTTAATTTTTTGCCTGTGCAATCATAAATAATTATCATCATCAATTGATTAATAGACCTCATGGATGGTAGACAAAAATGAGCATTAGACAAACTGAGAATTAGACTAACTGAGAATTAGACAAACTGAGAATTAGACTAACTGAGAATTAGACTAACTGAGAATTAGACTAACTGAGAATTAGACAAACTGAGAATTAGACAAAATGAGCATTAGACAAAATGAGCATTAGACAAAATGAGCATTAGACAAACTGAGAATTAGACAAACTGAGAATTAGACAAACTGTGAATTAGACAAACTGAGAATTAGACAAACTGAGAATTAGACAAACTGAGAATTAGACAAACTGAGAATTAGACTAACTGGTTATTAGACTAAATGAACAATAGACCAAATTACTAAATTAGTACACTAATTGGAGATTAGACAATATGGAAATCAGACCAAATGATTATTAGACCATGTGGATAGCACACAGGCTTGCTGTAGGCCATATGGGAATAGACCAATTGGGTAGTAGACAAACTGGTTGTAGACCAAGCAACAAGTTGCCTAATAGACCAGTTCACGTTTAGCACATTACTGCAATGACCCCGAATATCCACAGATCTTCAAAACATGAAGAGGTCCCACTTTGTACATTTTGAAATAATCACTCCTACAGCGACAGGGGTGCTACATAAATAGCCTTTGTTTCCCCTTTTCAAAGAATACTTCCACCTGTGTATCATGGAGTGCATAAATGAATAATGATTACGTAACTTTCATGAGCACATTTCCAGTATTTCGTCTCTGTGTATTTCACAATTTGTTCTGCAATGACCTGTATCTGCTCAACTCATGCGCAGACTGCAACCGTGAACTGGCTTATTGCAAGCACCCCCATAAGAAAAAAAAAATCTATCGTTAACATACTTGTCTGATTTTAGTTGATTAATATCAAGCTATCCACAGTTTCAAACATGAAGAGTATATGGCACATTGAAGCACCTCACAGCACATAATCGCAATATTGATTTATAGACTTCAGTTGAATAGCTTTCAAAATGTACAGTATACACTTTCCTTTTGTGACACGAGATAGTCTCTAATTAGTCCTGTATTGTTTTCTTTAAATTGCCCTGACTGTTTCTAATGATGTATGTATACATATCTGTATTAATGAATTTAATGAAACTGTCTTTCTATTTGTTTCATTCCAGGAAGCAGCAAAATTTATGAAGCATGCTAAGAGGGTCAAGCTGTCTACCGCAGATTTTGATCATACCCTGAGAGTTCAAAACATAGAGGTAAGGGAATTCCTCACTGATCAATTTCTAAAGAAGGACTTTTGTTTTAACTCTCAGTATTTAGGATGGATTGCATGAACGGCATGAGAATGAAAATATACAGATTCATCGTGCAGATGATATCAAATTTCAATCTCAAGCAGTAAGGTGTGTTATCTCTCTGCATAATATTAAGGTTAAATCTCAGTGTTCAAGTGCTATGGAACTTCTGGGGTTTGTTGTTATCGTTTCTGCTTGTGTTTTTTTTCTTTTTTCTTCTTTGTTTAACCCTAAAAAGGCCAGGCTATTTGAGGTCGTAATTTTTAGCATGGTGATAGATTTAAGTAAAGTGAATAAGATGGTAATGTTTATTTTCTTTTATGTTTATTTTTTTTTTTTTTTAATGTTTATTTTTATGACAATATGCAATTTCTTTTGGGAAATATACTTACACACGCACATTTGTGAGAAATAGGTCCGCCCATAACAAATATGGTATCAAATTGTGCGGGAGACAGGGAAAAAACTCATGAAATTTCAGCGCCAAAGGTTCAGGGGTTTTGATGCAGCGGCAAAAATTTGACAGGGGGCCGAGGGTTAAGTCATCAGTTTAGTGAGATCTTGAAAGGAAATCTTTCTACCAAATAAAAAAGGGAATTATATTGACTTTTCTACTTTTTTATTTCTTTTTTGTTCTTGGTCATATCTATCTAGGTTTATAATTAAACTTATCATTGTCTTATCACATTCACTCAATGATTTCATTATTTTACCTCACATCTTCTTTGAAATCTGTATTTTTAATGAAATGTGTAATTATTCAACAGTCATTGTACGGCTTTAGCACCGAAGAGCACATTCCATTCCGCTTTGCGAGTGGAGGAGGAAGAGAGCTTCACTTTGTGGAGGAGAAGGAATTAGATCTCTCCGACATCATCAATTCCTCCATGCCTAAAATCCCTCTTGACGTCAGTCTCAAAGGTAAATATGGTTCACCTATTCTCGAAATCAGTGGAATATCCAGGATTTCATTTTTTTGGAGGGGGGGGGGGGGAGGGAACGTAAAGAAATCACAGACAAGTAAAGCAAAAAAATAAAAAAATAAAAGCAAGATGTATTACATTTTTAAGTTGCTATTTTCTGAAGGAGGCGCGATAGCTCAGTCGGTAGAGCAGTGGTCTCGTAATCTGATGACCCGGGTTCGAAACCGAGTCGATGCGCTAGTGCCCTTTGGTAAGGCATTAATCCTCATTACCAGGTCTCTCAGAGAGGATCTAAAGCCGTCAGCCGTCTGGTTGCTTACTTACAAGTATTTATGCTTTCTTAGCAGTCACGTAAAATAACCACCATCATCAATGGGCAATATTCAGAGTCTAATTTATTTTGGTTGGAGCAAATTTTGTTGAGGGTGAGGGGATTCATTTGGTTTGTCACATTGGGTTTGTTTGGTGATAGGGGAGGGGGAGGGGGCTGTCCAATATCACAGCTAGAACTCAAAACTCACTTCCTATATTACTTTTTTTTCTTCATTCATATCGGTTTATTGAGTCAAATTTTCATATTAAAACAGTCAGGAGACTGATACAAACATAGATTACAAAGTTCGAAGATACTTGTGACTGTGAGTAATGTTTGGGATTGTTGAAGAATACATTATTGTTAATTGAATCAATATGCTGGCCATAGTCTTGTGAATTTTTAAAGGTTTAGGAATAAACATTATCTACTTCATGTCTTTTATATTTTACATGTAATCCAAGTTCCCGATGATGATAAAGCCTGAAGTGATGAGATCTCGTTCAGACATGTTTTAATTTGTTATCAATATTTTCTCCCCCTTCCAGCTCATTGGTTAAGCATTGAAGGAACACAACCTGCCATTCCAGAGAATCCACCACCAGGTAAAGAATAACTCCTATATGTTTCTGATAATCGTTCATAATAGTTACATTTTGAGAGCGATATTTTGAACCCAGTGAATCCATATAGTAATATGTATGACAGATTTGTTGGTTAGAAATAATGCCAATGATTGTATAGCACTTGGTGCTACATGTATGTTTCTAACTGTTTTACATGTGATTGTGTTCCTTTCATATTCAAGATTCAAGTTTTATTGTCCATATATTATAAGATATTATCATATTATCAAGAACCTTCAGTCAATTTGAAGGAGGCAGACTTAATCCGAAGAAGAAGACAGACATGTCTTTTCCATCGGTGTTACATGCAATAGAAACATATACAAAATACGGTATTGTGTGCCAAGACCCAGAAGGGCTTTAGCACTGTTTGAGAGTAAATGAGTTTTAGACCTTCCAGGCTCTCAGGCGATGGTTACAAGAAAAATTCATAGTCACGTCACGAATGCATTCATATATATGTCCTTTGACAAGACATTAATCTTCATTTACCACACTCAACCCAGGTGAGGTAAATGGGTACCTGGCAGGAATTAATTCCTTGAAATGCTAGAGCGCCGTAATGGCAGCCATGCTAAAGCTGGGATAAAAATTTCCGTAGCTCTTTGGAAGCGCATAGAGCCGTTTTAATGTGATGTGCACTATACAAGAACCAAATATTATTATTATTATTATTATATAGGTATGTATAGTAGGCTGGAGTACATAACAACACAATTCCCTCTAAGCAAATAAAGAGAAAGTGAGAAAAAGTGAAAAAAAGAGAGAAAGGAGGAGAAAGAGAGAGAGAGAGAGAGAGAGAGAGAGAGAGAGAGAGACAACTTTTGAATCCTAACGTTTGTCTGCCTATCTCTAAATTGCCCCCATCTTTCTTTCCTTCTGTCCATCCAGTCGACACTCACACCCAGAAGGTTGAATCCCAAGACGCTCTGCGCACCAAGAAGCCTACCGCTAAGGCAGAGAAGAAGTCTGGTAAGGGTGATATGGGCAAGACTGCAGCTACTCTCCTCGCCAAGGCTAAAGGCCTCACATCAGATCCCGTCAAACTCAAGGGTGTACTCGTTCACGAGCTCTCTGTGGTATGTAGCTCCTTGAAACTTTGTGATTGCTGTTTTATTTGGATCACATTTATGTGCATTTATTTGGAGAGATTTAGTCAAATATGTCTAGTTAGTGTTGTTAAGAAAGGAAAAAAAGAAGCATCCCCCTTTTCTTATACCGTACTTGATCTCAATGTCTCTTTGCCAAGATGGGTTACGTTTTTTAAATTGGTGAATTTCTAGAGTGGTATTGTGTACTTACAGTTTAGTATACTCCAAAAGTGGTTTGCTAAAACCTTTTTACAGATCTGAGAATCTTGTACTTGAACAAATTTGTACCTTGTTTTGCATCTTTTCTAGATATTTTTTGCTGATTTTTTTTTCTTCTCACTCTTTCTCTCTCTCTCTTTCTCACTCTCTCTCTCTCTCTCTCTCTCTCTCTTGCTCTCTCCCTCCCTTTCTGTATCTCTATCTATCCATCTCTCTCCCTCTTCCTTTCGCTCTCCCTCCCTCCCTCCCATTTTCTCTCTCTCTCTCTCTCTCTTTCTCACTCTCTCTCCTCTATCTCCCCCTCTCCCCTCTCTCTCTCTCTTTCCCTCTCTCTGTCTCTCATTCATCTCACAGGAGCAGCAGCTGTACTACAAGGAGATCACCGAAGCTTGCGTTGGATCCTCAGAAACAAAGAGAGCTGTAAGTCTAACTCCTGAATCATTCTAAAAAATCTGTACTATACTGAGACATCGTATGCTATAAATATTCATCATAACCTAACAGATGGTTATTTAGTTAATCAATCAACTCACTTATTCTGTAATTTACAATCTCTACTGCCGCTAGACTGTATCACCTTTGCCTCAATATCGTTGTTTCTCCTGTCTCGTCTCTCTCTCTCTCTCTCTCTCTCTCTCTCTCTCTCTTTCTATTTCTCTCTTTCATATTATTGTATGACTATGATATATCTCTACTGTAAGACATTTGTTTTTGTGATTTTACTTTGTAAACTCCATGCAATTCAGCCCTTGGGCTGCCATGTGAATCTTATGATAGATGCCATTTTCATTCAATTCAATTCCCTTTAATCACATTACCATACAAATCAGTCAGTGATTCTTAAGCCGCTGCAATCTGAGCGATCAACTATGACAGTATTTTTTTTGGGGGGGGGGGGGGCAAACAGCAGTAGAAATCACTGTTGAAAGATTGAAATTGTTTAATCCTCGATATCAAAGTTGAACAAAATAAGGTATTGAAAACCGAGATTGAGGCATTACAAAACATTTAATAAAAAAGAGAATTTGAAAGTATGCTGCAAATTGGAGCTCTGGTTTTTTTTCTATTTCTATTTTGACATAAAAAGAGGAACCTCGCGTTTACTCCCAAGTTATTAAGTGTCTATCTAACCGTTGATTCAAAGCATTTTCTGTGTAAACATGCAAGTAGTAAATGAATTAAACAATGTGATTCAATTACCTTGCAGGAAGCACTTCACAGTCTAGCAAGTGACCCTGGTCTGTATCAGGTGGTACCAAGATTCAGCATGTTCATAGCGGAAGGGGTAAAGGTCAACGTTGTCCAGAACAACCTGGCTATCCTCATCTATCTCATGCGTATGGTCAAAGCGCTCATGGACAACGTTACGCTATACCTTGAAAAATATGTAAGTGGTTTGAATTCTAGCTGGCTATTCTATTCCTACAAGTACATGATGCCCGAGTCTTAAAGGGGTGTAGCATGATGAGACTACGTGTCTTTCCTGTGGCCTAAGACCGAAGTGTGAAGAGAACTTTGGTCTGTTTCGCGAACGTTAGCGCACGCTGACTGTTAATCAAGTCCTTTCGTTTACGTGCAGTTGTCCAAAAGAAGTCTTAGATGGCGTTAACCAGTATTTGCCATGCTACACCCCCTTTAAGAGATTTTTGTTTGTATACTGGGTCTGACATGAACTGATGTGACTCAGATGCACTAATAAACAGAGCCTGTACAGCAATATCTTCTTGTAAAGTCATGTAGACTTTCTTTTCTTTCTTTCTTCATTGTATTTGTTTGTCATTTTATTCATACAAGGTTGCATTGTCAGTTCCAACCTGCTTTCCACCAGGAAATGTCCATTTTATAAATGATAGGTACATTGTGTATATTTGTGAAGTGCACTCCAGCTGGTGAAGTCATTTTGAGAGGAAAATTTACTTGATAAGTCTCAATTATTTTGAGGCTTTGATTTAACGTGAGTGCATACATCAACTCATTCACAATTGTTAATCATGGATTATTTGCATTCTGTTATTCTCTTTCGAACAGCTTCACGAGCTGATACCAGCCGTGATGACATGTGTAGTAAGCAGACAGCTGAGCCTTAGACCAGATGCTGATAATCATTGGGCCCTGAGGGACTTTGCAGCGAGGCTGATGGCCAGTATGTGCAGGTAAACAAGGATGACCTGACATTTCATCAAGCTTTATTTTGACACAGATATATAGGGTTTGGTTAAGGGCTGCCGTTGGGTCTTAGGTTAAGTTTAGGGGAAGGGTCAGGTACAGGGATGAAGTAAAGAATTAAGTTAGTTTGAGATGTTGGTAGTGGAGTGGAGGGACATTTTCTGGAATGTGTGTCATAGAACCCAAACATGATATCTCTGTCTTTATGCTTTCTTAAATTTTGGTGTTCATTAGGAATATTAAAGGGATTCTATTCCTACCATGATATAAATAACCTTAATATCAAAGACTTCCTGATTGATGAAGAGGTCATTTGAATTCACATCACTGACACATGTATTTCTGCTTTCCATCACAATTTAGACTTATTTTCAACATGTATTTTCAATTTTCAAATGTTCACAATTTAAAGAGTACTTTCAAGCTGCTGATCATGCACTGTGATCATGATATGAGATATAAGTTTGTTGTTAACTGTAATCTCCCTGTTTGGCTTTTGTAGGAAGTTCAGCACAACAACAAACAACATGCAGGCAAGGATCTCCAAGACGTTTGATGAATCTCTGTCCAAGGATAAAGCCCCTCTTGCCACTATCTATGGGGCATTGGTTGGTCTAGCTGAGCTGGGTCCAGAGGTAATGTACTGTAAATGCTGTTATTTTCGTGTGATTAATTTTTCGCGCTGAGCGACCCCAAAACATATTCACAGGTTCCTAAATTCGCATTGCACGCAATTCAGCTCGTTCAAAACACGCATAAGAAGTAATGCTTATATTTTCGCGAGTTCGAAATTCGCGCTAACCGATCTTAGTGCGAAATCCGTGAAAATTAATGTACCGCAAAGATTTTCGCGTTTACAGTAGTCTTCTCAGACTGGTGGTTAAAAAAAATGAAATTGAAACCTATCATAGATTTGAAAGATTTATGGATTTTTTTTTATATGTCTAAAAGATCAAATCTAGAAGTATAAGAATTAGAGTAGATATTAATTGAGCAGTTTATGAATCTATGTATTATTGATAATCATCGTTGTTGTCGCTTTTGTTGTTGTTTTTGTTATCATCATCATGCTCACTATCATCATCACTATCATCATCATCAAGGCTCAAATTAATTTTTTGCCCACGGGGGCTCTTCCAAAAAAAAAGAGCCCCCGTGAGCCTTCTCACGGGGGCGCTTTTAGTGCTGACGGGGGCCCGTATTTTAATACAAATTTCCATTGAATTGGTACCCGTGAAACTCCTTAGTATTTTATCATTATCATTTATCTAAGTCGGTATTTTTCCTCTTAGAAATTTACTTGTTACATAGCTGTTATTGACTTTCATCCCCGTGAGGACATTTTCTCCATTTCTTCCGGTTCTGCACATAATTTCCTCCTCATTATTCGGAGCAACCTTATTTACATTCTTTCTTTACTTTTAGTAATTACCATATCCTTCCAAAACACAGGGGTGGATCAAGCTTTTTGCTAAGGGTGGGGCATCGTCCACGAGCCGCGTAGCGGCGAGGCGATTTTTGTTGTTGCTATTTTGAACCCCCGTAAGTGGTGTTTTCCTGGCATCTACTAACATGCGGATCAGCGCCCACGAGCCGCGGAGCGGCGAGGCGACTTTTTGGTGCTTTTTTGAACCCCCGTTAGTGATGTTTTCCTGGCATCTACTGACATCTACTAATACTGTGTAGATCTGGACACATGATAGCATTTTTCTGTGCACATCACATTTTTCCTTGGCAGCCCAAGGGGGAGGGGGGGGGGGTTAAACCCCCTAAACCGCCTAGATCCGCCCCTGCAACAGCTTATGCCTTCTTCTTCTTCTCAATATTGATTTACTGGTCGGGTTACATTATTTGATGGACTTTAAGAATCACCAGATTTCAGAGGATTCAAACTTTCACAACGAAAAACTTCTCCATTTTTCAGTCCTTGCGCGCGCGCGATTGTCGATCTCCAGCTCTAGCAGATATTGGGCGTCAGCGTGCACACCGGTACTACCAGCGCATAGCAACTGTGCTGACGGCCGCACCGCGAGCTTCCGTTGTTTGTTTCGGGAATACTCCCGGGAATACTCGTAGAGATGGTTGAGAAAGCGCCATCTAAGTTCCATTTCATTGGTTTAAGGTTTGAAAATTAATACTCAATATTGTGTTAAAGTTATATCAGAAAAGATAATCTTAATTTTATAATTCCACGGGGGCGATTTTTAATTTTGCAATCACCCCCGTGAGCAACCTGACGGGGGCGATTATGGAGTTCACGGGGGCGAATCGCCCACCGCCCCGTGTATTTTGAGCGCTGATCATCATCATCATCATCACTATCATCATCATCATCCTCATCATCATCATCATCATTATCACTATCATCGTCATCCTCATCATCATCATCATCATCATCATCATCGTCATCATCATTATCACTATCATCATCACTATCATCATCATCATCGTCATTATCATTATCATCAGCATCATCTTCATCAACAATTTAATCATCATCATCATCATCATCTTCATCTTCATCATCAATATAATCATCAACATCACCATCATCAACGTCGTCTCAATCTCTATATTGTCTCAATCGCAGGTGATGAAGACATTGGTGATTCCTAAAGTGAGGATGTTAGGAGAACGTCTAAGGATCATGACAGAGAGTCTGATCATCAACAACCCTGATAAGATAGCAGCAGACCATCTCAAGCAACTTGTACAGGTGACTTTATCCAACAATTTTGATATCGCGTCTAGAGAAAGAAGTAATAGACATTCTAATAAACCCTTGCTAAGATAGGTGGTAAATCATGACTTCACATTTCTGTATCGTATAACACAGAATACCTGTAGGACCATTCTTGCACGTATTTGCCACTCATTGACAATTTTTTTTTTTAGACATTGCCTTTTTTGTCTGGCAGTTTACCACATCATAGCTGAAAGAGCTGTAACTTTGATATTCTTTTGTATTATAATAGTATGTGAAACAAAGGGCACGTAGAGAATGTTTTTCAAATTGTAATTATTTATTTGTAATATGATATACCTGAATGTTTTGTAATTTTCTTTGTATTGATGATCTACATGTATTTATATTCATAACTTATCAATTTCATTGTACTCAATTTAATAATGTTCATAATCATGTTGGAAATGTAGGTATTATCAATCCAACCCTTTGGTTGCTATGAATAATTAAACAAATATGTAAATTGTTTTCCTTCTTTCTAGAAATGTTCTTGAGCTTTTACTGCATATAACATTTCATGATGTTTTAATTTACAATTTCATCTATATGTATGAAACGGCTTGGTGCTTGTGTTTACATAATGAGTTCCTGATTTCCTTTGATCGTGTAGAAACACTGCGCACCGTACTTGAAGGGAGTGAGAAGCACGCCCGATGTCCTTCATGAATACGAGGAGGAGTTTGGCTATCTGGGTCCTTTCCTCTTCTCCCACGTCACCAAGTTGCGATTCCAACCCAGCACGGTTACAACACAGTGCAGCTCTACTCTGACATCATCGAGACCTATGATCACAATACCTCAGGTAAGTGAACCTAAACAGAGTGCTGACCCCAAACAGAGCGTTCCTGCTAAATATCTTTTTTTGTTGTAAGACAGGTTTAAGAATTTAGCCAATGACAATGACAACCCTGTATTCAATTCACGTGTTTATGCTTTAAGTTTTTCCATCATGCCCAGCTATGCAAGCTGTGTGCAACACTAAGCAAGCTCCATGCAGCTCGCTTGATCCAAGCATCTTGATGCATTTAAAGTGTGGACGCATTGTAGTTCACATACTTTTGTGGCAAGCAAGGATATTGACAGTGAGTACAGCACACTAAGACGCACATTACCTGCATCACCATCATCATTGTTTTCCCCTCGTCGTGGGATTGCCTCAATATCCTGACTAACCTTTCTGTAGATGACTGTCAACTCGTTTACTACTGACTTCTCTAATCCCCATAGGCTTAACTAAGGGAACATCCGGTACCAGTAGGCAATGGGTCTATATAAACTGTGGAGTGTTTCACAAAGACTAAGATCGACTTTAAGTTGGACTTAAAGATGGCAGGCCATTCATGCCACTGTTTGCTCTCAACATTTACTGGCATTGGTCTCTCAAGGACATACAAATTATGGTCAGTAATCTACAGAATTTACATTTTTTATAATTCATTATTGAAGGTAAAAAAAGTATCTAAAGATCATAATGGTGGGAACAAACAGTGGCATGAACAGCCTGCCATAGTAAGTCCAACTTAAAGTCGATATAAGTCTTTGTGAAACGCCCCCCTGATTAACCTTTCAGTAGAAGATTGTCAACCAGTTGACTACTGACTTCTCTAATCCCCATAGGCTTAATACAGGGAACATCCGGTACCAGTAGGCGATGGGTTAACATAAACTGTATGCATACAAATCAGGGGGGTGTTTCACAAAGCTTTTTTCAATGACAAAAGACAAAAATCAGTGACACATCTGCTGGTAACCAATCAGAAGCAAGGATTACAGTAGCTTATAACAAAAAACTGTCATTTGTCACTCATGACATGTTTTGTGAAACATCCCCCAGAGGTTATATTTGGCTTTGACTTTCATCTCTCTCTCTTTGTCTGACAGGGGCGACCTTCCACCATCATTACCTCTGGTAGGTCCCTCTCCTCCTCTGGGTTTAGCCCCAAGACTCCCTCCTCCCTGTACTCCCCCACCGGTACCGGTCTGCAGCGTACCTTCTCCTCATCGGGCTCAGGGTCCACACCATCTAGCCAAACCAAGATTGTCCTGGTCTCTGCCACCGGGTCAGGAAGGAGCTCAGCACAAACTGTAAGTGTGAAGATTTCTAACTTTAAAGAAAAAGTTGAGTTCTGGGAAGAGGTGAACAATAATTTGTGAGCGTTATCATTGTATAATGCAAGTGTGGAAGATTATCAGATAAAATATATTCCCTAAAAAGCATGGCTCTTCAAATGCCTTAATATTCTAAATATGCATATTATACATGCCAACCGTTCCGATTTTAACGGAACTGTTCCGTTTTTGAAGTTTTTATAGCCCTAAAAACGGAACGTTCCGATTTTGGGGAATTTGGCTTTCCATACATAGCATTGATCCGATCGAGTGCTGAACTGGTTGCATTGCGCAAGGTGCGTGCAGCGTGCACTGATATGTACGTACAGTGGCAGCGTGTTGCTGCGCGCCACGTGCACTCTGATATGTGTTTCCGTACGTAACATTTCCGTACGTAAATACTTACGCTGGCAAATCTCGTAAGTATAATTTCTATACGTTTGCATGCGCATATCAGCATGCATGCATTCGCTATCGCGGCTAGCGCACCGTATATGCATAGGGTCCCCATGCAAAGTACGTGTTTCGAGGTACCGTATACTTTGTGATTTGTGATTTGTCTCGGAAGAAAATCTGTCAAAATGAGCGGAACAGCAGCTAGACGAATTCAGAAGTACAAACACGAATACAAGGAACGATTTCCCTTTATTAGAGCAAGCACAAAAGGGGAGAAATATGCATACTGCATTTATTGTCGGCAAGATGTCTTGTTCTGCTGACATTGATTTTGACAACCTCATTTACATGTAGCTCAATGAGTTACAATAATTTTGGATTGTTGACTGTTGTCTGCAAAGTTGAATACCATTATTGCCAGTCTCATTTTATGCATAGATCTATGTCATGTATAATTATTTAAAAAGTAACTAGACTTAAATGCATCACTCTGCATGAGTGGCTAATTAAATCTATGTCTATTATCTGCTCTGCCTCTGCCAAGGATAAATTAAAATGTGGAATTCACTTCAATCACTTTTTTGTTTGGTATGACACAAAAATTACCCATAAACTTGGGTTGAATTTTAGGGGAAATGGTCCCTAAAATAGGCTCAGATTGCACCAGAGAGCATCTGGAAACCCAGAGCTTCCAGGGCCCTAAAGCGGGCCCTGAACCCCGGCTAAAAGGACTTTATGCAGGATTTCACCTTTCTAGGCTGGAAATTTCTTAAAAGAATGCTTAAGTTATGAGAAATCCAAATTTTCTAACTAAAATAGTTGCAATGATGTGCATTTCTAAATCTACAGCTATTTTTGCATTCTGCATGTATTAGTGAAATAATGTTCTGAAAAATTAACAAAGTTTTAAACATTTTTGTTGACATCCTACAGAGTCCAGTTCCGAGTGGTTCCTCCACACCTACACCCAGTGTCTTCAAGCTAAACCCCAAGAGTTTCTCCAAGTCTCTCAGCTCTTCTCTCGCGCCTTCTCTGGCATCGTCTCTCGCATCTTCACTCTCCTCCAGCCAGACTATTGTCATGTCACCCACAGGGACGGTCAAGGCCGAGCGGAAGTCGCCTCCTGCAACGGCCAGTGCTGGAGGAACCAGCAGCACCAATATGCTGATGTCTTTGGCCCAGGCGGCCACGATGCAGACACCCATTAGATCGTCCAGTGGCGAAGACCACACCCAAGGATCGTAGCAGAGTTGACACTGTACAGACATGTAAATGACCAACTGAACAAGAATGTGCTGGAGGAACCAGCAGCACCAATATGTTGATGTCTTTGGCTCAGGCAGCTACGATGCAGACACCTATTAGATCGTCCAGTGGCGAAGACCACACTCATAGCAGAGTCGACACTGTACAGACATGTTAATGATGAACTGAGCTAGAATGTGCCATTCAGTTTTTGTATGCTGCTAGTAACAACCGATGCGTGAGGGAGTAGTAGTACTAATATGCCATCGTATTGGGCATGCTACCATGTCTTTGGTCCAGGCTGATACGATGCAGATGCCCATGACTGGGCGTTGTGGCGTACTGTACGCCTGTAATCCAGCTAACAATGGAAGTTATAAACTGATTCAGCCGGGGACGCAGGTTCGAAACTGAGTCACATCTTTCTGATGGTGACGTTTAAAGGTTGGTCCCCAGACGGAAACAATCAAATCTGATTGATACACGTCTGTAAAACCCAAATACATACACACCCATTAGATTGTCCAGTGGCGAAGTCCACACTCTAGGCTCATAGTAGCTATGAAAGTTGTTAGTTATTTAGATCCTGAACTGACACAACTGAACAATTGTACTATTCAAATGTTCATGGTGGTAGCAACATCCTTTCACCACCTGCAACCACCAGTGCTGGAAGAACCAGTAGTACCAATATGCTATTGGCTCACGCTGCTGTGACCATGCAGACGTGTCTAAGCTAAGACCTCTCTCAAGGCTCCTACCAGCAACAAAACATTTAGATCCTGGGGGGTGTTTCACAAAGATCCTAAGTTGAACTTATCTCTCAGTTAGACTTAACAATTATGGAAAGCCATTGGCATCTATGAAAATATTTTGTAAAAGTTATTTTAAAAGGCATAAAATGTTGATTTATATCATTCATATTTTCTATTATCAAGGAGATTTCATGCTCTTGATGCGGAATTCATAAAAAGTTTTAAATACTTCAATTTTTGCTTTTGAATATATACTATTTTAAGGCTACAAATGGCTCTCCATAACTTTTGAAGTCCAACTTAGAGCTAAGTTCGACTTAGAATCTTTGTGAAACACCCCCCTGGACTAACAACATGGACTGTTCACTTCATTCTTTTCATAATGCTACTTACGAGTAATGACCAGTGCTGGAGGAAGAGGTAGCGTAGACATGCTCCTGTCTTTGGCTCAGGATGCTACGATTCAGACACCCATAAGATCATCAAATGGCAAAGACCACTTTAAAGGGTCATAGCAGACTTGGTCTTGAATAATAATTTTGAAATTACATAACCTGTATTACCAAATCATGTGTATAAAAATTGTGATAATTGATGCAGAAAAAACACCATTACTTTAAAATGGTGCTTTCTATTTTGAAAATATGGATTATTGGACATATCAGTCATATAGAGGAAAGAATTTTGTCCCTTAATATCTACAGATATCATCATTCTCATGTACATGTAGGTATAATGTATATGAACACTGACATGTATAGTTGTAGTTGATCAAATGGATTGTCTAAATCTCTACAGTATCTGTCGGGAATACGAGACTGGGGAGGGGGTTCATGACAGATATTGCTACTTGTATGCATGTAAGGAGCTTGAATGCATTGTTAATATTTTGTAAATTTTGTAGAATAAATATTGCAAACGTCAGAAAAGACTGCAACATGTTACACTTATTTGTAACTCCACCGTTTGTGCTTAATGCATTGTACAGTTACATATGTGGGTGTATGAGAGGGGGAGAGAAAAGGAGAGAGAAAGAAAGAAAGGGAGTGTGTTAGAGAGAGAGCAAAGGGGAAAGAGGGTTAGAGAAAGAGAGAGAGAGAGAGACTAGAGGTGAGACGCACACTAATAGATGAGAAAGAGAGAAAGAAGAAAAAAAAGAGAGGGAAAGATTGTCAGAGAGAGAGAGAGAGAGAGAGAGAGACTAAAGGGGAGAGAAGGGGGCCAAGTAGTAGATTGGAGTGAGAGGGAAGGGAGTATCAGAGAGAGAGAGAGAGTGAGACAGGGACTAATAGATGGGAGTGAGAAGGAAAGGAAGGGGCAGATAGACAGAGAGGTACGCCCCTCTCCTTTTCGGACAAATCTTGATCCATCCATTTATGATTGTTCCAAGTATTAGAAAAACTTCAAACCGAAACTTGACGAAACGTCGATGCAATCAACATTCCTTTCAACACCAAAGAATACTCAATGCGCGAGTAAATAAGTTACAAATTCAGCGCTCATAGAATCGGGAAAAATAGCCGATCCATAGATTAAAAAATTAGACCCCCCCCCCTTGAAACAACGATACAAAACAGTTCATTAGTGCTGTGTGTTGTTCTACACCGATACTACGGACTTTCGCGGATTTCAAACAATCCGGTTGCCCTCACCCCATCCCCCTCCATTTCCCCCACTTATTTATTGTTATTATTTTGTTAAAAGTGTACCGAATACAGACTACCGATCAATCCCTGTCAATCCCTGTCAGTTTTCAGAATTTACATTCATCATACAATCTGTCGGTTAAAGAAATTGAAAAGGTTTTTGTCCGACCAAGAATTAGTACTTTAGATAATAAACTAAGAGAATTTCAATTCAAATTGCTTTATAAAATTGTTTATGTCAATCGTTATTTATACAGGTTTTAATTCATATTAAGTGATAAATGCTCATTTTGTGGAAAAGAAGAGGAAACATATAGGCACATATTTTTTGAATGCGAAATGGTGAGAAAATTATGGGATCAATGTAGTGATAGTTTGGATATTCCAATCCTTAAAGATATGAGCTGGAAGGAAGTTCACATTGGATTAGACGAAATAACCGAAGATAGGCAAATGATTAATCGCGTGGTTTTATTAATTAAATATTTGATATTTATTAGTAGGGAAAAAAAGAAGCCTCCAAGTATTGAAGAAATAAGAGAGAAAATATTCAAAAGTAAACAGGAAGAAAGAAAGAGTGCTACTGAACGAAATACGTTGACGCTCCACTATAAAAAATGGGAACATCTCAAGGTAAACATGGACAATATGCAAGAAAATACAAGGGATGAGGAAAGGAGGGGCCTGCCCGGTTCACAGCTGTGTGTGATTGGCCGGTCTCGACTGCCATAGACTGCCCACGTCTTCTTGTTTCGTTTTTTTTGTTTTGTTTTTTTTTTTTTTTTTTTTTATTGTTTGTTTTGTTTTCTGTTTTTGTTTTGTGTTTGTTGTTGTTGGTTTTGTTTTTAACTGGGGTAGGGGATATAACAAACTTTATTCATTCGATATAACTAAGTTGATTGTAGTCTGTACTTTGTTCCAATATGTTATAAATTATAATATGTAATAGAGATACTAGTACTACAGAACAAAATATAGAGGGGGGGGGGTTATAACAATATCAATTCATTCAATATAATTGAGATTACTGTATTTTGTACTCTGTAATTGGTTCCAATATGTTATATATTACAATTTGTATGAATTAATATTATTTATTGAGTGAATACAATAAAGAATATTACAACAACAAAAAAATTCCGCCGGATAAAACCTCATGAGGAAAATATAGCGTAATGGTTGCTCCTTCTTATAATATCCCACATGGCGAATTATCATCATAGTCCTTCCTTTCATACATCAATCGACCTGTTTACTAATTTCATATACACTTCTTGAACAATACTTTCAATTTCAACCGTTTATATTACAGAACGTATGCCTTTATCAATTCAATAAAACCAGACCTCCTCTCGATCAGCCTACGAATTGTCCAAAAATCTATAGGCAATGAATTATTGATCAGTTTCTTGCTGTTACCATGGATATCACTGCATGCCTCATCTAAATGTCACTTAGAGGAGAGAAAAAATCTTCAATTTTCTCTCATTCTCGTGTTATATCTTAGCTTCACATCTGAATTATTATACAAATACACCCCTTTCTCTCACTTTCTTTTTCTCTCTCTCTATCTCTCTCTCTCTCTCTCCGACTGCCTTTCTTTTCTCTGCTTTATTTCATCTATGATTTTACCTAACCTTGGTGTCTGACTCTCGATCATTTTTTCGCTCTGTGTTTTTATCTTTCCTCTGTCTCCCCTCCCCTCCCCTCTCTCCCTCCCTCTCTCTCTCTCTCTCTCTCTCTCTCTCGCTCTCGCGTCCCCTTGTTTCCTCTTTAATCTTCTCTTTATATTTTGCTAGGAGTCTACCGTGCTGTATTTCATCTTTTTTTTCCAGTCTTTCTCCATCTCCATCCCACTTTTTCTCATCTCTTCGCCCTAAACCTTTCCCTTTATCCCACCCCACACCTTTCCCCCGCCTCCCTCACTATCTCTCTCTCTCCCTCTCTTTCTATATTTCACTGTCCCTCCATCTCTTCCTCTCTCTTTTCCTCCCTCCCCTCTCTATGTTCCGCCCTTTCTTTCTCTCACTCTCTCTCTCTCTCTCTTCCACCCACCCTCTCTCTCTCTCTCTCTCTCTGTCTCTCTCTCTCTCTCTCTCTCTCTCTCTCTCGCACTTCCCCTCTCTCCCTCTCCCCTCTTCCCTCTCCCCCTCTCTACCTCCCTCCCTCCCTCCCTCCCCTCCCCCCTCTCTCTCTTTCCATTCACCCCGGCCTTGTATATATGCTTTCCATATTCACAGTTTCTACGTTCGTGGTAAATTATTACAATTACAAAGGACAAAACACAAAATCAGTCTTTATGGTAAGGATAAATATTATATCCAATATCTCAAAACATACATAATTATCAAGACATTAGTGAACGATGAATTGAACAATCATGATTGTAGAACTGAATGTTGCATAATCAAAATCGTTCCATGAGATGTAATACATAAACTCTTCGTCTTACATCCATTTAACTATTTCATGGACATATACATGTACATCAAGGAAAGAAAATAATCTAAATATGTACAAACTGCAGCTTTTGCTTTAAAAAGCATATTACTGGGTGTTCATATTTGCTTCTCGGCTTATTACATCCCATAATGATTAGGACGGATTTTTCGTCACGCCGTACGAATATTTCCTGGTAGTTCTTTGGTATACAGTCATATAAAATTGAGAAGATGGAAAAATAATACTGATTCAGTAATGGGCCTACGGCATTCAACTTCATCATTATGCGAAAAACATAATAATCAATCAGTATCGCGCAATTTTCAACGTCATGATAAGTCAAAGCTTTCAAAGTCAGCAAATGGAAGACTATGAACTCATTCGGAATAATTATTATGAAAGTCGTGAACATAGGAAGAGATGTTTTAGGTTGAGTGAACAACTCAAATACCAGCCTTGTATTATAAAAACAAAAGTCATGAAAGATATTGATTATTTAATACCCGTTTTAATGACATCGCCGCATATCTGAAATCTTTATGGCTCTGCTTAACTATCTTTGCAAAGTCCATCATGTTTGATGCCCACTTCAAATGACCACCTCAGCGTGACATCGAATCGGATGTTCGTTCTCCTTACCGAAGAAGTACGGCCTGGTCGCCACTCCCTGCGCGTAATCTCTATGCCATCCTCCTCGCGATACAAGCTCATGCACCCAGGGCGGATGGATGTCAGAACAACTCTTAAATGACATCGACTCGTCATCATTATAACATCGCTTCCTTAAATTATCCGTCCCCTCGTTGTCTAATACGGATTCGAGTTCGACGAACTGCATGACGGTTGCGTCAACGACGTATCCCTTCCATTCGACAACCCAGTGGCTGATTTTAGAGCTCTCGAAGACGACCGGTGATGTCGGATGAGAGTTCGTCGTGCGGTGTCCTTTTTGGCGGGACTTTTCATTTCGCGATACATGCTTGTCGTCTGCGGGTAATCGTCTGCGAAAGATATGAGCGATGCGTCGTTTGAAAGGATGAGATCGTTTGGGTTCCCGCAACACCGATATGGGTTTCCGGATGATCCAACGAACACGACGTGGAGGCTGTGATGCATCGTGGTCATCGATCTCGGAGAGGAATGAGACAAGTCGTCGAGTGACGGACCAGCAATCGACGTCGAGGCGTCCCAGTCGGGCCTGACTACTGCGACAATGCTCCATGAAGAAATCTTCGATGATCTTGCGATCGACCTCAGACGGTCCTGTAGCCTCTGATTCACACTCCATAGTAAGTTTAATACAACAGTCTAAAGACCTATATCTATATTCTTAAAATAGTCATGTTTATTTTGAGGTCAGTTTTGAGACAGTTGATTGGTGCTATCCGAGTGGTCAGATAATCGTCAGACTGATATTTGAATACACTGTATATACATTTACCAATTAACAAACAATGATAGGCCTAATCGTGTTTTTGTTCTCCTCCGATCATTTGAGCAACTGAGGCATCCATATATCAAAAAGATGGTTAACATTGATATGGTGTTCACCGCTAAGCCAAAGTGGCCTTATAGTTCAATCAAGCCAGTACTTCTCCGTTCTTTTCGACTCCGATTAACCCTCTACATACGTTTACCAATTTAATAGTGATAGGCCTTCAAGGGTTTTTGTTTACTCCGATAATAGAAATCATAAATATAATGAAGATAATTACAGTTGAAATATTTCACTCGCCCTCGAGTCAATTCAACTTAAAGACGCATTGGGCTTTCATCCGTTGTCTGTATACATCTTCTACTCAAACAGGACATCTATATATACCTTTCGTATATAATGTCAAAGATAATTAAGTTAGTTATGTTAGGCCATGAAGCGAGCTAGCGCCTCACATACCAAGGATATCAAACACATCCACACCGATCTATACTCTGCGTGAGTGCATGTCGATCATCCTTCGCATCCAGAAAACAATAACAAATCCAAAGTTCAGTTCCGTGCGTTTTTCAGCTGATTCAAATATATAGTACAGAGTTAATGGTTCCTTTACGTATATTTGTTGTCTAAATACTAACAAGTTACTTGTCCGCTGTGCATGAATATAAGTTAATTTAAAGAAATCGAGCTGTGGGTGAGACACTGCATGGTCAATCGTTGCATCTGTCTTGTATTCATCTGTTCCACAAATGAAATTATATGTTTGTTATGTTCTTGTAGACGGCTGCAGAGTAAATTATCTCATGTTGTGTGGATATATGAGTGCTATAGTTTAGATGAAACCAATCGGATATCCCCCATTGCGAAGATGACGTCACAGGCAGTGTCGCACTCGAATCAGAAAAACAATACCGATTTACCCAAGTTCAATTTCGGGCGTTGCGTAGGAGCGCAGAATGAGGGTCCTTTTTCTCAGCACAAAGAATTATTATTCGCATGATATATTACTGGAAGGATGAATGCTTTACAAGAATCCGCGTCGCACAGAATGGTTTGCATACAACTGAACTGAAGGAAGACGACTTTTAACACACCAATGACCCGAGGGATGTAGCACACAAAATGGCTCACACCTATCGCGTTTCTTCTCAAGCTTTCATCAGAATCGAATCACAATGCACCCGGGAGACAGAAGCTGCATATTCAGACAATCGAAACTGAAATAGAAAGAAAGGCAGAGAAGAGAAATAATGCAGTGAATCAGCCACGGACTTGGATACAAGCCAATGATTTATAGCAGGACATAATAAATGCTGACATTGATAATAAATCAGAACGAACTTATTGACGCGGGAGGGTGATATACAACTGAACAATAATTGTCTGATGAAAACATCCCATCTAATAGGCTCTATGACGAGGCCCCCTCCCCCCCCCCCCGCCCCTTGCTCTGTGATATTATATTGCATACGTTAATTCCTCTCCTTCATCAACACCCGGCCTCCCCCTCCCCCCATCACTCTCTCTCTCTCTCTCTCTCTCTCTCTCTCTCTCTCTCTCTCTCACTCTCTATCCCTCCCTCTGTCTCTCCCTCTTCCTTTTCACGTAGAGCTGTTTCCGATATCCCTATATATATATACCGTATATATATATATTTACATTGCCTTTAATTCCTACACAAAAATATACATAGATCAAACACTTAAAGGTAATAAAGATAAGCGCTCGTTTTCTACAGCAGCTTTGCTAAATCAATATTGATGAAAATCCGACAACTCCCCCCCCCCCCCCCCCTCTCTCTCTCTCTCTCTCTCTCTCTCTCTCTTCTCTCTCTTTCTCCACCTCACCCTTTTATGTCTTATAAGTACACACCCTCCAATACCCGCACATCCCCACACACAATTCTGATTTCATCTGATTTCAACTGAGCGAACAATACGAGAAACGTACATTCATTAATTGTGCAGAAGAATAAATTAATCATTATAAATCAAAACAGCCATGAAACAAATTAAACGTGCTTCATGCATATATACTGTCGCACGCGTACTCTTTTTTCTTGTTGTCTGAAAATATGTCAGGCGACAGTCACGTCCATAAAACGTACACGATCGAATACACCATGTATACAAACCTTACGAACGAACAAACGCTGTCAATTTCATCACACGCTTTTGTCAATGAATGCTAACAGGACAAAGCCATTAAATCAAGCAAGTATAATCAAACAGTGCATTACCTGAATGTTTTGAAGATAACATGTAGCATATGGATATAGTATATCCATGCATCTCGGCTTCAGCTTCAGCATCAATAACATTGACCGAATGGGTTGTTGTCTCCTCTCCTCGAGATGATGTATGCCTCATCGGGCCTCACGGTGGATATGATCACCACGGTTGACTCTGTGCTCTGGCATCCCAAACACAAACAACTACTTGAACTTCAGACCCGACGCTTGGCTTTCCTCTCAAGTGCGAAGAGTGGGAGCTAGAGACCGAGGGAGAGAGAGGGGTTGATGAGAGAGAGAGAGTGGTGCATGGGAGGGAGATGGGGAGAGTGGGGAGACAGAGAGAAAAAAGGAAAGAGAGAGGAAAAGAGGATGGGGAGTGCGAGAGGGATAGACCGAGGGAGCGAGTGAGATGAGAAAGAGGGGTGCATGGGAGGGGGGTGGAGAGAGAGAGTGGGATGGAGATAGGGGGAGAGGGGAGAAAGAGAGAGGGAGGGAGAGAGAGAGAGAGAGGGAGGGAGAGAGAGAGAGAGAGAGAGAGAGAGAGAGAGAGAGAGAGTGGGAGAGAAAAAAGAAGAGAGAGAGAGGAAAAGAGAATGGGGAGTGATGAGAGAGGGATAGACCGAGGGAGAGAGTGGGATGAGAAAGAGGGGTGCATGGGAGGGAGGTGGAGAGAGAGAGTGGGATGGAGATAGGGGAGAGGGGAGAAAGAGAGAGGGAGGGAGACAGAGAGAGAGAGAGGAGTGGGAAAGAAAAAAGAAAAGAGAGAGAGGAAGAGAGAATGGGGGAGTGAGAGAGGGATAGACCGAGGGAGAGAGTGGGATGAGAAAGAGGGGTGCATGGGAGGGAGGTGGAGAGAGAGGGAGGTGGAGAGAGATGGAGGAGGCAGCGAGGGGAGAAGGAGAAAGAGAGAAGGAGAAAGAGAGAAGGAGAAAGAGAGAAGGAGAAAGAGAGAAGGAGACAGAGAGAGAGAGGAATGAGAGAGGGAGAGAAAAAAAAAGAGAGGGTGGATGAGAGAATGGAGAAGAGGCGGGTGAGAGACAGAGAGAGAGAGGAGAGGGAGGGCAAAGAGGGAGGGAGAGATATGTAAACAAAGGTTGTAAAGGCTTTAGTATCTTTTATATAGTACGTTTGCTTTCCAGGTCAACAAACCCCTTTCAGACCCCCAACGCCATCCGATGAAGAACGATAATTCTTTTCTCTCCGGGTCAAATTCGAAGCATTGTGCACGAACGACCTGTAGTAGATCACAGCGATGAAATTGAAAAGATAACTGTGTGAGATGATTGTAGTGCTGCCTTAGGCGATATATCAGCTCACAAAATATTTCAATTTATGCACACTCCTAGATGCCTATCTCGAGACCCTGTGTTGACTATATGCTAAAATGACATTACAGTCATCGATAGTCCATTGTGCTATAGTGTCCTTTTGGCAGTAACCCGACGTATTCCTGTCACCTATAACCTGTATGCATACTGCATTTCAATAGCCATATTAATACAGGGTGCATTGCATTGTTATAACCTCCCTGGGCTATGTCGGGTAAACATCTGGCAAGCTGTCGTCTCCAATGGTAACAATTGTGTATCTACATATCATTCATAACTTGCATGCATAACACTTTAAAGACATCGGTGAACGATTAATGCTAGCGAATAAAAACAAATATATAATACACTATTCAGTATTCGAATTAAAAAAACATACATTTACCTTTGATATACATGTATTGTTATCCGTGGCCAGAAAACTCACCCGATGCGACGTTTACCCGACATAGCAACAACTCATTGATAATAATGATTTATCTACCAGCTGAATATCACATGTTTTTATTCAATTATGGTAGCGCCTCCGTAGATATAGAATCGACGTTGCATGTGTCGTCTGGCATTGATCAGCATATACATCAAACACGGCTATATATAGAGATCATCCAGATAATGTTTTATGTCATCGCCTTGATTAAGCTTGTTGGGGTACTTACTGAAAGATGACAAAAACAATATACACGTACTCGTTCATCATAGGTTGATGATTGTACGTGCATGATGTAATACATTTATGTATTTTCAAAATGGGTCTATTTTGTGCTTAACCATGATATTGTTTTCCTTCCGGGCTTGGTATTAACGACTTGCCATTGTTTGCACATCCCCCTGCAGCGAGACGTTTGTCCCAACAAAGCATCGAATCGATCGCTTGATCCGTTTGTGGCTGCCGCCAGAATTTGTCATTAGTATTTTTAATTTTTGTTCATAGCACCACCTATTTTACATGTGCATCGCCCTTTAAGTAATTTCTCTTTGTTACTTAAGAAAGATTTACAGCGCATGCCTAGCGCGGGTCAATGTCAATAAAAGGCCTACAAACACATTTTTAGTACGCACGAGAAAATAGTTCCATACATTCAAGCATAAGAAATAAGTTATTATCATTAATTATGTACTGAAATGTAAAGTAATGTTCATTGAAATGCGAATAATATTAGTAAATTCTGTCAAAACTAAATCGTTGGTCGTTTTAAGTAAAATTCCAGTTGGACAAATTATTTGATATCCGTGTGCCGATAAGTTCGGTGAACGCGTTGACCCTTGGCTTTTCTGAATTACGACCTGGCCCAAGCAATACGTGTTTTGTGGGGTCTTCAAGAAACGCCAAAGTTTCAAGGTATATTTTGCTGCCCAAGGATGGAAAAGTCCTGCCAACGAGGTATGTTATGGCAGAAATGTATTTAGAACAATTTCATATTACTTACATGATCTATCAGTTTGTAATTTTGATACATTATAAGTGTTTTTTCATGTTGTGATTAGTAGCGTTCAGTGAGCTAGTTTTCCACACACGTGAGATTGTTTACATCTAACGCTAAATTATGGAAAGCCATTTGAATATTTCATGTTTGAGTAATTATTCATGAATAAGAATTCTCTGTAAATCAGTAGCATATAAAACTTGCTTTTATATTCATAGTCTTAACTAGTATGCTCTTAATGCATGTTTATCAAATTTCTCGTAAGAGACTTGTAGCTCATATCATAAATGTTTTATCATGAACCCTTTTTATACTCATTCTGACAAATCATATCTGTATGAACAACTCTCGTTAAGAACATCTATTTGGTTTATCAACTCTTTAAATTGACAAGTAATCTGTATATTTACTTGTGTACATATATTTGTATCTTTCGCACGGTATTTATTATTCTGTGCTATTTTATACTTTTTATGTTCACAGTTTTCACGGCACTGTTCATCACTGTTACTTTGTTTTGACAATCGTTAAGTCAAATAAAGACATTCGTCACCAGAAAATGAACATCCGTTTCAACGTTGAGTTATTTTGATCCTGCGGCAGCAACAGTGAAAACTCGGATGGACATGACACCTGAGAAATCCATAATTGGATCAACTACTCAAGCCAAATATTTGATGTGATGTCTGGAACTGCATTCGTCCTCACCTGGCCACTAAGGAAGCTGACGAGGAACTCGGCAAGACACGGGCAATCAAACGGCTTGGAGGTTGATCATCGCTCAAGGATGTCAGGTTCATTTTCATCAAAATAATTGAAGATTGAAATCAAAGAAAGAACACTAGAACATTTATATGCGATTGAAATTTCTCGTTTGGAAACTTAAGCAATAAACAAGCTAAAGATTGATTTAGGCTTGCATATCAACTTCTCGAGAGAATTTCAGATTTAAAACCTTTAAGATCTCTAACAGAGTCTTGGTTCGTATCCCAGAATTGTAACAGCTATTTATTCTGATTTGTTTGGATAACGTAATTTAAAACAACATAAGACTTGATTCCCTTATGATGTTTGGGATTTAAATTTTCAGCTAAGATTATAATTTTCTTAAAATACTTATCTAACGAGTGGAGATAAGTTTACAGAATTTGTTATGTGTATGTAACATCTCATCAAGAATAACCTTGTGTGTGCACTTATAGATGATTTTGAGACAAAATAACATGATCAAGTTCATTTGAAAGGATATTTTTTTATTAAGATTGAAAAAATTTCTGAACTAAAAAGAAACTGATTACCGATAGTGTTTTCCTTTAAGAACAAGGGAACAAAAGGTCATAATAATTTGAAATTGATTAGAAATCGGGTTACCTTGTTGATATTGGAATTGATTTGGATTCATGATAATATCATTAATTCTATGCTACGTTTGATATTTTTATTATTTCAAAGCTTGAATGTATCGAATTGTATGTCCTGCGTAGCGCTGTGTTTTTATCGTGCCCGAATTGAGATTTGGGTTAAAGCAGTTATCTTTGCTATTTGTTATCAGCTACTGCCATTTGCTGTTACCAGCCCACTCCCACACGCCCATTTCTATTTCACTTCCAAACTTTGATTCAAATTCAAACTTCAAATTTCGGTCAAGATTATTTAAATTTGATCTCAAATACTGATTTTCTCGTTGGTTTATTTACCTCAAAAATATATCGTTCAATATGGAAGGGCAACAACCAACTGAAAATAACTTGACTACTGACTCGACTAACTTACCTCCTGAAACACTTCGCCGCTCCACTCGTCCTGTCAAATTGACAGAGAAAGCATTGCAGAATAAAGAAGACGACCTTCAAGGTAAGTTTTTTGTTGAACATATAGATTTGCATTCGATCATACAATCTACTCGAAATAGCTTATTGTCTCAAAACATTGATGGTGATAGCTTAGCAGTGAATAAGCTTGACATTACTGCTAGGCTCAATTCTTTGAAGGAGATATTTGTTGAGCTAAAAAGGCTCAATGAAGACTCCATTGATGATGAGGTTATTGAGGCAATGGATGAATCTTCTATTTCTGTTCGTAATATCTTATCGGATATTGATAAGGTATCCAACATGTCTTCTTCTAGACAACCATCAATTCGGTTGGCGCACTCAACACAATCACGACTCTCGAGGACATCTTCCAGATCGTCACGACGAGTTGCAGTCGCAGCAGAAGCCGCTGCATTACAAGAAGAGCTTACAGCCCAGAAGCTTCAAAATGAACGGGAAAAGGAGCTCGAAAGAATGGAACTTGAGGAAGAAATGAGGAGGAAGCAAGTAGTTTTCAAAATGTCCGAGCTGAAAAGACAACTAGAAGAGGAAAGACTACAAGGCAAGCTCAAGGCACAAGAAGCAATTATGAGAGTCTACGATGAAGAAGATGGAACCAGCACAGTCTCTTCTTCATCCTCGCGTGGAGGTAAAACTGTTGTCAAAAAGATCGAAGATCAGCCAAATCCAACTGATGTGATCCCAAGGGCATCTCCCAAGTTAGAAAGCAAATTGATTGATGAACCAGCCTCCATCGTGTCACAGCAAGCGCAAGTAGTGCTTGATCCCCAAGCTCCGATGTTCCAGCCAAGATCACCAGTTTTAGATCTCGCTGATGCCTTGGCTCAGAGTCGTCTACCCGTTCCGGAGCCGCCAATATTCACTGGAGACCCACTCCAATATCCAGATTGGGTGTCGGCTTTCACTACTCTGGTAGAGCGAAGAGGCATCCCTCCTGGTGAAAAAATTCACTACCTTCGAAGGTATCTTGGTGGTCCAGCAAAGGAGGCAGTCAGTGGCTACTTTCTCCTGAGGTCAGAAAATGCATTTGAGCAAGCAAAGAGCACCCTTCAAAAGAGGTTTGGCAATCCATTTGCTATTGCTGAAGCCTTTCGGACAAAGTTGGATGTGTGGCCCAAGATAACCAGCAAGGATCACAATGGGCTGCAGCGGTTTGCAGACTTCCTTCAACAGTGTCTGGTAGCCAAGGCTGAGATTGTCGATCTCAACATTCTGGATGATATACGAGAGATCAACCGAATGGTTGCTCGACTACCAGATCATATCGTCCATAGATGGAATCGCTCGGTGGCACAGACAAAAAGGGAGCGACTTTGTTATCCTAGGTTTGCTGACTTCGTTTCTTTCATTGGGAACGAAGCAGACATTGCTAATGATCCTCTGCTCACTGTGGATGTTGGCAAGACTAGAGAGAGAAAACAGGAAACCGCAGTCTCAAAACGGGTAACCCTCTCTACGTCTGGCTCAACTTCACAGAAGCAATGTCTGTTGTGCAAGAGACAACATCATTCCCTGAATGACTGTCGGGAATTCCTTCGGAAAGACATGTCCCAGAGAAAGGATTTCATCAAAAATGAAAGACTTTGCTATGGCTGTCTTGAAAAAGGCCATATGTCTAAATATTGCCAAAGCAGACTGGTCTGCAAGAAGTGCAGTAAAAGGCATCCAAGCTGCCTTCATGAGGACCAAAGAGATTCGAACAAGGCCAACTTGGCATCAAGCCAACCGAAGGAAGCTCAAACCGCATCGACCTCAAATCCTCAAGCTGTAACGCACAAAGTACAAGGCGATGAACGTAGTGACCTTACATCAATGATTGTGCCTGTGTACCTTTCTAGTACAGAGAGGCCTGACAAGGAGGTTCTAGTGTATGCACTACTAGACTCCATGTCAAACACCACCTTCCTTTCCGAAGATGTCGGCCAAGACCTGGATGTACAATCCCAGCCTGCCACATTGTCGTTGACAACTTTGACAGATGAGATATCGATCTCAACCTTCAAGTATGACAATCTTCGTGTCAGAGGTTTTTATTCCTCGGAGAAAATTCGTCTACCCTCCACATTTACTAGGCAGTCTATCCCTCTGGACGACAGTCATATCCCGACTCCAGAAACTGCCTCCAAGTGGCCTCATCTCGTGTGTGTGCAGGATATGATAGCGCCAAAACAAGACTGTCCTGTCGGTCTTCTGATTGGCTACAATTGTGCACAGGCCCTTGCTCCTCTGACGTCAGTCCGAGGCCAAAATGGCGAGCCGTATGCTGTCCAAACAGACCTTGGTTGGAGTATTGTTGGAGGTCAGTCTGACTTGTCCAACAGCTTCGATTCGTTTGGCCACACATACAGGACAGTCAGCATGAAGGTAGAGGCCCCGATCGATATCAAGAAGGTGACATTCGCTTACCAGTCTCCCTTAAAGGAAGCGACTGCATCGGATTTCCTTCAGCTCATGGAAAGGGACTTCCAAGAAGCTGAACAAGCTGATGCAATGTCACAAAATGACAAAAAATTCATTCAAGTTGTCACCGAAGGTTTACGCCAGAGAGAGGATGGGTTCTATGAGATGCCTCTTCCATTCAAGAAAGGACCGCCATCTCTTCCG